CACTTGGGGTGCTCTTCACAACTCTGGCATGCTTACTAGAGAGGTTCATTCTAACTATGACATTATTTTCTATCATCATACAATTTTATTGTTCTCCTTCATAGCAATCTTCTCAAATACAGCTCATCTATTAGCTGTAAGTCCTATGAGAGCAGAGAACGAGGTGTGCTTCAGTCTTAAATTATATACCCAGCACCCCACGAAATACCTAGCATGATATGTGTTAATTACTTATCAGGAAACCTCAATAAGACACCTGATAATAAAGGACTAAACAAAAAATAAGGAAACAAAATAAGTATTTAAAAACCCAACTAGAGCCTCCTTGGTGGCACAGGGGTTAAGATGCAACCTATGAGGCTGTCCGCAGCCGCTGCAGGGCAGGTTCCATCCCCAGCCAGAAGTAACCTGCATGGCGCAGCAGACCTCTCCTGGCTGGTCCGCTGCTCCCCTCAGCAGTGTATTTCCATAGATCTGCCTGTTCTGTTCCCCACTCTGTCTCTGGTGGATCCTCTCACACAACCCCCCACCCCAAATAAAAACCCAACTATTAGAATTCAAACATCTAAATGCAACACTTAGAATCAAAGTCTCTTAATAATAGGTAGTTCTAAAAAGTTTGGTTGTTTCATTTTCAAGCTATAGTTGATCAATCAGAGAGAAAGATGGTAAACAGCAAAAGTCCACACATGTGAAATAATAAAATAGCCATTTAAAGAACCTCAAACTCTAACATACTTCAGTCTTTAAGAACAGCATTGTGTCCTAAACTGAAATCCTCTGATTAAATGATTTCCCTACTCAATCAGATAATTCTGATTTATGCTCTGGATCAGGTTTTAAAGCAGAAAATCATATGTCATCTTTTTTCCAAGAAAAAGGTAAAGGATGACCAACAAATGTGCATGAGAGGATAAACATCAAAATAGGTGATAAGTAATAATTGGCTGAATGTCTATTATAAGATCAGGTCATAGAAAAATTATCTATGGTTTTCATTCATAGTCTCTGATAGTAGATATTATCCCTTCTGCAAACAAGAAAACTAAATTTCAGAAAGGTTAATGGTCAGTTAGGAAGTATCTGAGAAGTGCAATCAATCTGCTTCATATTAAAGACCATACTCATTCCACAGTTCATCCATTGCTTTTCTAATTATCTGATATAATTACGCAAGCTCTTACTAAAAATAAACATTCATACTCTCTTCCCCTAAAGATTCTGGTTGGGGATGTTTGAGTTAAGAACCAAAAATATTGGGGTTTTTTAAGCCTTTAGTGATTCTGATAATCAGGCAAATTTAAGAAATTTTGAACTGGGATAAAACTAGACTGCATGAACATGGAAACACTGATTCAAGACCTCATTTATAAATAAATTCTAAAACAAATTTTGATAAATCACCGAAAAAATCTTTCACCAAAAATACTAGGGTAAGGATATCTAAGAGCAACTGTTGCTTATTATATTTAAATCTTAATTTTATTGAGAAGGAAATGCTAATAGGTTAGAAAGATAAGTCAGACATGGATGCTATAGAGACTTAAAAAGATTCCCTTCCTGATCATGCTCAGCGAAATAAGCCAGAAAGAAAAGAAAAATACCGGATGGTCTCACTCATAGCAGGAATTTTGAAAACCTAAATAAGGGACCAGGAAAAAGGCTAATTATAATAAAGTAAAAATCAAAATCAACAAGCAACTATAAACCAGAGACAAACTGGGGGGGAGGGGAGAAGGGAGGGATTAGAGTCAAAATGGGGGGGGTGGGAATTGTATGGGGACTATAACCAAGATGAAAATGCATACATTGTGCAAAAAATGAAAAATGATGTAAAAAATATATAAAATATTAAAAAAAAAATGAAACCAGAAAAAAAAAAAATTCCCTTCCGAGGATATAGCTGGATTAATATCCTGGCCCTTTAACCTGCTAGGAATAGAAACTTAAGTTGGAATTCAAAGTGGCTCTCAAATTAAAAGTATTATACTTTACAGTAATATTTATGTAATGTTATTAAAATAATAAAAGGACTTAATTATTTACCATCATAATTTCATATAATTTACTTTTCACCATTTAATCCCTGTATTCCACTTAACTCGTCACATAAAATTTTAACTACTAGTCAATTTCACATCTGTTGGTGGGCAGAATCCAACAATGAACTATTTGGACCGAAATACCATGTGAATTTTCAAATTTAAATAAATAAAATTTTGAAACATCAGCTTACTATCATATTTTTCATGTCTTTAAGAAACTTTACCTATTTGATCCAATTAAAATGTTTGATCCAATTAAAATGTTTAGTGTATCTTACTCCCTATTGCCAAAGATATGTTCAATGCTACATTCTAAATCAGGTTAATTTCCTTTCATACTTTAAAGAGTAAGAAAAATCACTGAGGAAAAAATGTCTACCTTAACTTGACGATTTCCTCACAATGACTAATTTTGTTTTTTTAAAAAAAGGAGCCCTGTATCTCTTGAATGTGTTTTTATAAGAGCTCTATTGTAAAATATTTGTCTTCATCAAGAGGAATAAACAGGGGAAAAAATCTGAAAAGATCCAAAGAGGTATGCAATTACCTCATTCATTTAGAGAACATTTCAAGACCTATAATATTCCAGACACTACACTAAGTAGTGGAATTAGGTTTGAAGATGACTTTTTGGATTTTAGTACTATGTATTACACCTATATTTCTCAATGTGGAAAACGATATATGGATAATAATAAAGGTTAATTATTGAGAACTGTATCACACATGTAATAAAGTCTTGCATGTAGTGTCTCATTTAATTCTTAATAATCTTATAAGTTAGGGACTATAATTATCCCCATCCTAACTAAAGAGGCATAGATAAATAATTTATCCAAGAAGTGGCAGCGGGTAGATCTAAACTCAGAGCTTAGAACTAAGATAACCCAAGAAGCATAGGGGCTGCGAGGGATATGACAGAAACATTAACTCCCAAAACGGAAAGGCACACCATTTACTAGTGGCGTATATTCAATAGTTCCTTCTTAGAATCTGGAGAGTGGTTTTCAAATCCAACCACACATTAGAATCACCTGAGGGACTTTTTTTAAAAAAAAAAAGAAAACTTCACACCTGAGACCTTCACTCAAGTTCTTGGCCTTCAATTGGTCTGGGACAAAGACCAGTCTGGGTCTTTTTTTTAAAAGCTCCCTAGGTGATTCTAATTGACAACTAAGAACCTCTAGTAATGCTGTCATACCCTATTAATCATTGTCAGTAGCTAACTATAATCAAATTTAGTAAATCACCTATTTAGTTCTAAGCACCTATTATATTTTTCATTCACCCAACAAAGTTCTCAGCTGTACCTTTTTAAATAACAAAATTTTGCCAGCTTTTCTTTGACATGAGGAATGCAAGGGGCTGAGTGGGAGGACAACATAAAAAAGTTTGAAAATCTCTTCTTTAAGCACCTATACTGTTTAGCTTTAAAACAATGAAAACACACTTAGGAGTCCAAGCTGAAAATTAAAGGGCAGGCTAGGAGACTAAAAAGTTTGTCATACACATTAAATACTTAATACCCATGATATGTGATTGCATTTCTTAATTTTTTGCTGGTGACAACAATAAAAACACTTAGTAACTGTTATTGTGGTGATAAATCCCATTGTCTTCTCTTGGCGCTGTGACAGAAATTATGCAGTGTTTTTACCCTGTTAAGTCACCTGAATATAAACTAACAGGTGCTGAAGAAATCAAAGCATTACATAAGCATACCCAAACAACAACATGGCTGGTCATATCATGTACTGAGAATCGCAAGGGTAGATCTCAACTAAGAGCTTAGAACAAGATTGCTGACAATCTTGTGTATGAAGACTTAACTGTTTCCAAAAGTTATTCACTGCACATCCCACTTGTACCAAAAAAACTACAATGAAAACTGTACCAAACTTGTTGGCACTTTAATTTGACAAAAAAAAGTGAAGTGTTAAGATACCTGACCAGCATGGAAGTTTGACCCAGGATTTGAACAAGAGCTCTAAAGTGAAAAGGAACAGAAAAACTTCATGTTGTACCAAACTCTGGACTTCTCTGAGAAACATTACAAAACTTCCTGCTTCCGGACAGCTCATTATTTGGTTCAAGTCTTCACATTCCTTTATTAGTCATGACCTTTCAGAAAGCTTTTATTCCTTACTGTTTGAATAATACCGGACTTTTCAATGTTGCTAATCTGACTTACTGGCAACTCTTATCAAATGAAGGAGCTACCCCAGAGTTCAAGGCCAAGAGAGGGACTTGGATTACAGAAAACCCTCAGTAACCTGAGCAGCGTCCGTGCCATTAAGATTTTTTTTCAATTGTTGTAAACATGTATCTTTATGCATATCGGAAATATACGTTCACCTACACACTTTGATCACATTCAGTTACAGTAACTTGCATGACTTCTGCAGAAACTGACTCTGCAAGACACTGGGCAGACCTGTGGGTATGAGCGAGCAAACACACACACAACAACAGTGAACCTCATTACCGGCTGTCACTAGGGTCTCATAAGGCCCAGATCTGGCCTCTGAGCCATATGTCACTAGGCGCAAAGGCACAGCCAGGGAGAGAGTACCACAGGGCAACTGGATGCGAAAACAAGAGGGAGGCATCTCATTAACGCGTGTCCTTCCACCCCGAAACTGACGGGGTGGCCCCTAAGGGCAGACCCTGAAGGAAAATCTTCCCACTGGGGATCCAACACATCGCCCAGGCCTACTGGGCCTGCTAAAAGGGGTGCGGGGGGGCGGGGGGTGGGTGAAGGGGCAGTGTTTGTCCCCACTTCAGAGACCTGAAGAAATGAAAATAAACCAAGTTTTCACTTCCTGGTCGATTATTCCTCTTCTCGCAGGCCCCCGACACGGACGGACAACCGGGAAAGCGGGCTTCCACGGAGGAAGGGGGGACCCCCCAGCCCTGCACCCCCCGTCCTCGCCCTCGCCCTCCTCCGGGCCTTACACGGTGACGTGACCGGAGCCGCGGACCACCACCGGGTCTGGCGAGTACTTGAGCAGCTGCTCCTCCAGGGCCCGCTCCTCGTCCTCCTCCTCCTCATAGATTTCGTCGAAATCCGCCATCCTGAGGCGCCGAGGCCCCCTGCCCGGAGGAGCCCGACTCCAGGCGCCGGGGCTGGGGTACCGGCCGGGGAGGCGGCGGAGACCGAGGGAGCCGCTGCCTGGCTCAGAGGCCGCGGAGTTGGCTCCTGGCTGTGTGGGCTCCGGCTACACCGAAGACGGGGTCCGGGCCGCCGCCGCCATTACCGTCCGCAATAACAACAACACAATGTCAACATCCGCCCCAGGGCCGACACCACCGCCAGCACCGCCGGGGCCGCCGCCGCAGCAGCAGCAGCAACTCAGGCAACCACAGCAACAGCCAGAGCCACCCGCTGCGGGAGCTGCCGGCTACGGCATCGCGAGACTTCGCGGGAGTGCGGGCGGGCGCGCGGGCGCGCGGCTGGAGGGCGGGCGCGTGCACGTGCGGCCACGCGCGCTCCGGGGAGGCCTCGCGTCTCACCTACACTTCCCCCCGCCGAGGACGCCGCGGGCGCGCACCCGCCGGCGCGGCCCCGCCCTCCGGCTCCGGCGGGGCTGACCCGCGAAGGCGTGGCTCTGCAGGCGGGAGGCGGTGACCCCAGCCCAGGGAAGGGAGTTGGGAGTGTTTATGGGGGGCATGTGGTTACCCAAAGTCATCTCTGGCCCAAACATGTCACATTAAGACCCCTCGTTGGGATTTATTGTACACGGGATTGCCAGTTTATCTCACATCGCTTTTCATCAGTTCCTTTAGTCTGTAATGACAACCCGTTTCGGTATTTTCCCAGTTCGAGGAGCCCTGCAGACTCACTGGAAACATTGTGTCCACGCTAGTGCAGGATTTTGCAAACATGTTCACATTCAAACATCTTGTCCCATCATCCCCTTAAACATAAGTCAATATATGAGGCCAAAGATGCTTTTTTTTTTTCTTACAGGAAAAGTCACTGTAGTCATGCCATGAAATAAAATCCATGAATTTTCTGGATTCCAGATGAGAGGATGCAGTTTTCTGCTCTAACTCCCGCAGGAACCGTAACCTGTCTTCTTCCATGGAGACTTTAGGGAATGCCTTTTTGCTTTCCTGACAGCTACATCCATAGAAAGGAGGGGGGGTGGGCTATTGAGAAAAGGGATCCTTAGACAGTCCTGGATAATGAATATACACTCTGGGGGTGGGAAAGGATAGGCATACTATTAGGGGGAAAAGGATGTCCTAAAGCTAATTCCATACAGGCTTGTATGCCTGTAGTGGAGTATTAATAAGTCCCTTTTAAGCGCGCGGGTTGGGTGAGGACCCACAGCCAGACAACCCGTTCAATATCGGGGCTGCCCTATAACAATACTAGCCATAGGCACCGGGGAGGCTATTCTCCCAGAAGAATTCATGTCGTGGCAATGGGTTGCCCTGGAAGTTGAGAAAATGCAAAGGGTGCCAATGAAGACAGTGAAAAATACCGAACAACTTCCTAGTGGAAATGGTTGAAGGAGATGAGAGCACAGTTAACCAAGAAAAAATGAAGGAAAAGCACAGTAAATGTATCAGACTTACTGTATACCTTTGTATACAAGTATACTGTATACCTATGTGTATATTTGTTCAATTCATAATATAATACATAATATGTACTGAACTCCAGACAGGCAGTGTGCAAGTACTTTGTGGGGGAGGGGGGATGAGGTATAGTCCTTGCCTTCTAATAGCTTACTTATCAGTAAGGCACCAACTGTAATTCTGTTAGATGCCCAGAAAAGTTTTCCAAGAGTCCTATGGAACTTACAGGAGGTAGTTTGGATCTCAGCTCTGCCTCTTAGTACATGACCTTGTTAAAGTCACTTAACCTCTCTGTTCTTCATGTATAAAATGAGGATAACAGTAACTAGGCCATGGGCTGTTCTGCAGATTAAATGACTTCATACATATAAAAAGCCTAAAAGAGGGCCTGGCAGTAGAGGATCTCTAAGGTCCCATCCCGCTCAGAGACTCTTTGAGGATCACTGAGTGATTTTTGCACTCTGTAATGATTTACTATTTATGAAGCCTATGCCTAACTTCATTTAATATTCCCCAAGAACCCTGTGAGGTAACCAAGGAAGATAGAATTTCTGAGTTTCAGAGATGCTATGTGTTTTTCTCACAGCTAAATGGCTATATGTTACATTTGAAGAGGTATGAACCTTTACCCTAAAACATAGTGTTGTCAACCAACATTACCTCAAGAATTAATTTTAAAATTAATAAAACATTTTAATAAATATTTAATAGTCAAACTCAGGGCTTCAACTCCAGTACACAAGCTTCTGAATCTCTTCAGTAGGAACTGTCCTCAGTTAAAGGAACAGCTTCAAACAGGAGAGTAAGAAAAGGGGGCAAGAGGAAAGAGCCTCAGTGTGATCCAGCCATGGGCCACGCCCCATGTGCTGTCACTAATGTTTCACCTTTCTGTAGAAACAATGGCCAAAATAAAAGGGTTGTTGCCCCAAAGTTTCTAAATCACGTAGCTGACACCTTCCCAAGAGCAACGGAAGTCAGGCATAGCTCCTTAAATCTCCAGCACCTTCCACAGTTCTGCTTCAAAGCTCAATAATAGTTATCTAAATTGAGATATAATGTTACTAATGCTATTTCCAGAACATCATGAGTTAATTAGACTTCTGAAGACTGTGAGAACTTCAGCCTTATCTTAACACTGGTTCTATGTGGGAGAAATGTTCTTTTTCTGAGATCTCGGCAACAGAGAGATCTTTGTAACTCCCACAGCCTTGGTGTAAGGTGGGGGCTGCCTTATTTTTGCTCTTCTATTTTGCTGTTCTTTTTCCTGCTCTGAAAAACCTGTCAGAGCCAGCAAAAGGGTGTGGGACCTGGGAACGAGGCCCAGAGGATGAGAGCAGATGAGTCAGATGGTTGACTTCACAAAAGCAAATTCCACCCCCAACCCTCCAGGGTCCAGTTTCCTGTCAAATTCCATCCCTGGGGGTGAACCCCTTTCTCAATTTCTTTAATTTCAGTGTTCATTTGCTCTCCTACTCTCTGCATTTTTGGACTTTTCTTCATTTGAGTTTTCCTTTACATTCTGGTCTCATGAATTTCACATTTACCTTCAGACCAAATGGCTCAAAACATAAATTGGTGGTGGTAGTGGGGAGACACAAACATTAGTCTATATCAATGTTTAAATGCCTGAGGCAGAAAAGATCATGGTCTAGATTAGGTGCAAACCAAAACCAGTGTGGTTGGGGCACAATGAGAAAGGCAGAGCTGAATTTGAGATGGAGTTAAAAGGATGGTGGGAACTCGAAGACCTTGGTAAGCAGTCTGAAGTTCATCCTAAAGGAAAAGAAGTTCATCCTAAAGGAAAAGAAGTTCATCCTAAAGGAAAAGAAGAAGAAGCCAGTGACATTATCAAATGTTCATTTTAAAATCTCCAAATGGGAGAAAATTGCTGGGCCCAACTGACCCAGCATTCAGCCTCTACTTCTAAAAATAGCACATGTCCCCCACTCCTCAGATGATTTGATGTAACTTAGACCTCTCCTATTCTCAGTACATGTGATTGGCTTAAACTGACACATTCCCAGCTCCAAGAGTGAGCAGATGGTATAGAGGGGCTCATCAGAAGCAGGAATAACCTGCAAGCACAGTGACACTTGGTTCCTATGGACACTTGATTCAAACAGAGCCAATGAGAATCAGTAACGGGACTTTCAGAACTATTGGGAAGGGGTGGAGGAATCTCCTTTTTTATGAATCTACTAGGAACCATGTTGCTCTTTCAATAGTAGAAACTGCTTGAATGGTGCCAACCCTGGAGGAAGAAGGGCCAAGAGATGAAGCATACATGATAATATACTGATGACCATGTTTGAGACCCCTGAGTTCAGTCACCTAAAGCTCCCCCAGATTTGTAGGGGAGAATAATGGATTCAGTTTCTGGAATATGAAATACCCAGCAGAGATGTCCAGTAGAACATTGATAGATTAGAGATAGAGATATTAGATAGAGAGATGGAGAGATGTGTGGATGGATGGATGGATGGAGACAGAAAGGTACCAAAGAAGAAAAGTAGGTAGGGAGGCTCATAAGAAAAGTGCTAGTGGGAAATAAATACTCATAGATGGTAAAGGCAGCTGTAGAAGTGACCAAGATAGTTCAACAACCAGCAGGTGAGATGGCCTAAGGAGAGAGTTAGGAGATAAGAGGAACTCGCAGGAAGAAACTTCAGTGACTAGAGATAGGGAGAAAAGGAGGGTTTACAAGCTAACAGGAAAGAAAAGTAAAAGAAGGAGGTGGTCACTACCCATGGGGAATGCTGCAGAGGTGACATAAAATGAGAATCAATTTCCACAACTGGCAACTTGACAGGCAGACCCAACACAAAGTGCCTTGAATCCACAAACACATAGAAAACAGAGAAGAAAGATAACAATTTAAAAAAAAACAACAACAACAGCAATAAAGGCAGGCATAGATCTCCACTCCTTAAATGCAGGCTATGATTAGAAACTTCCTTACAAAGAGTCCAGCACAGAAAGGAGAGAAGACTAATTTTACAGCAGCATCACGTGACAAAACACTACTTCAGCCAAGTAAACATCAACATTAATAGTCATAAATCTTGTGACTAGTATGTACCTTTGTCATGATAAGATTAAAATGGCTCTTTTTCTTTCTGACCTTTCTCCCAAAAATTCAGAATCTCATCCTAATCATGAGAAAAATATCAGACAGATATTTTTGTCTGCCTCAATGTGAGGCATCCTACAAAATACCTGAACAGTGCTACTGAAGACCATCAGGGTCAGCAAAAATAAGAAAAATCTGAGAAATACAGCCAAGAGATGCCTAAGGAGCTGTGAGCCTGGATGTGATTCTGAGATAGGAAAAGAAAGTTAGGCCAAAATTTTAAAAATCTGAATGAGCTATAGATTTTGGTTAATAATAACGTATCAATAATGAGTCATGGCTTTTAGCAAATATACTGCAATTTGTTATTAGGGAATTCTCTGTATTATCTTCTCAATTTTCTGTAAATCTAAAATTGCCCTAAGAATAAAGCTTACTAAAAATAGTAATAGAATATATATTATATTCAAGAGAGAGAAGGAGAAAATTTTTAGTGCCAAAAGCAAAGATGAAGCTTATAACTTTAGTGATTAACTCATAGACCTCCACCTGAGTTTAGAGGCGGAAGAGAAGAGAGAATTATTGGACCAAAAGTTAGGCTTAAGAGACAAAGGCAGGAGTTTTAACTCGGAGGCTATGAAAGGAGACTTGACCTTGGGTGTGCACACAGCAGGACACAGATTGAAGCAGCAAGGCCTATAAGAGAGAAACCAGAATAACT